AAGTTCAGAAAATACTAAAGAAGAATAATTGATTGATAAATCAAATTTTTTGTTTTATTTTTTTTAATTCAAAAAAAACTAAAAATAAATGAATTAGTTTATAAAGTTATTGTTAAGATGACAAGAACACTAGAAGCAATTTATCTTAGTATTGTTATCCCTTACATCAATGACATTAGATCTGTAAAAGTATTTCAATTAGTTAACAAAAAATGTTTTGATTCTATAGGAATGATTCGAATAAATCCATGGTTTACTCCACAAGGAAATTATATTCAATGGCATGATGCTATCAAAGAAGTTAGTTCAGATGTAATGAAAACAAAAGAATTAGATCAAGAAATTCAATTATTTAGAAGTATTCAAACCATCCAAACAGATTTAGATACAATAAAACAAAGAAAAGAAATTATTGAAGCATATAATTGTATTAGAATAAAATATGGTATTATTGATTCTAATCAATTTATTTTAGATAGTTTTAAAGAGAAATTAGTTGAGCTAAGAGTTATTATTAAAAAACCTATATGTATTGATTTTAAAGAATTCATACAATTGAAAAGAATTAAACTTATATCTATTAATGTTAAATTAAACTTATTTCAATTCTTCACAAAAAAGAACCAAAAATTTGATTGGGTCTATGTTAATCTAACTCAGAACATAGAACTTTTTATTAATCAAATTGATGACTATGAAATAAAAAAATTTGTAATTGAAACTAGAAAACTTAATGGTATTAATATTCTTAATAAACAAAGATTATCTAACAAGGTTATTGTTTGTTGTAATGAATGGATTGAAAATAAAGAAGCAATAGTTAATTATCAAGACACCTTCTTATATTCTTCAAGAAAGAAAAATATGAATGAAGCAATGAAACTTTATTATCCTTATAGCATTGAATTGTCTTGGCTTTATAATGAAAATGAAATGGTTGTTGACTTATCATCTTTTACTAATATTATACAAATAAAACAACAATTTAAACCAAAACAAGAATATTATTATCCATCTTCACTAAAAATGTATGACGGTTGTTCTCTAAAAAATATTCCTAACTCTTTAATTTATTTATATTTATCTGATGTAGTAGAGTCTATCACAATTCCATCATATATCATAAGTCTCAAACTTGAAAATATTCCTCATTGGACTATTGCTGATAAGAATTGTATTAATAGTTTAAAACTTATTACTGATATCAATGATAAACTCCCTTATGAAGTAACTAAATTGAAAAATATGAAAGTAATGCACCTTACAAATTGCATTATTACAAATACTTTAACAGTATTAACAAGACTAAATAAATTAAGACTGTCTCAATGTAAAATTAGTTTAAACTCAAATGAACTTCCATCTTCTTTGTCATCCATTATTTGTAGAAATTGTAAAACTAAATATTGTTTTCTCCCAAGTTCACTTGTCTCATTACAAATACTTGGAATGAAGAGTATGGAAGAAACTCCTTTCTATGGATTTATTTTTCATAGTCAAATGAAATTACAACAATTATCAAATGACACTGGTATTAATATAACAAATACCCCAACTACAATAACATATCTCTCTATCAAGAATTATTCAAACAACGAACTTCTTAACTTAAAAAATCTTTCTCTTCTCAATGTCTTAGGGATATCAAATTCGTCAAGTGTCACAATAATAATTCCATCTAAGTTAAAAGAGTTATATTGTTTTTCTTCCATTGTAACTATTCAAAACCCAAATGAAAGTCTTCTCGAAGGGATGTATTTCAAGTCTTGTAAAATGATCAATTGGAGTTCTGTGCCTAAACTCATCAAGCACCTCCTATTTGTACCTACTATTTCTTTGCCATTGAACCAAAAAGATTATCCTAATTTAAAGTTTCATAAAAGCATTATCCCAAACTCACAATCTGATTTGTTTATTTCTCAAGGATTACCAAATACAATAAATGAAAGAAGACCTTTAATAAGTAAAATGGATATAAAAATTATTGATAATTGACTCATTGTGCTTTAAAATCTTTCTAAATAAAATAAATATTTCTAATCAAAAATAATAATCATTCAATCAACTGATAAAATTAATGAAATAAAACAAGCCATAATAAGAAAGACAACTATTGTAGTAATTTTACCACATCCAAATATTCTTTCTTTTCGAATTTCTTTTTCAGGTTCATTCTGAAGTTGATTTGTTGTAACTTGATTAAACTCTTCATTTAGTTGAGACTTTTGATTACATTCATTAATATTATTTTGTTCTTCTTTTTTCTTATCATCATCATCAATATCTAATTTAATTAGTGGAAGTTTATTTTGATTTAATGTAAAGTTTTCAATACCTTCTTGTTCCACCAACGTAGTACTTTTTTCTTGGTTTTTCTTTTGAGTACCTAAAAATCTACTTGCTTCTGATTTTCTCATAGAACTATGGTCTAACCCTGTTTTAATCATTTGGCTCATTGGTTGACACATTATTGAATGTCTTCCATTTATGGTATTTCTTAAATGACGTTCAGATTGTTTAGTAAGTTGTACAGTATCAATATTAATAAGAGGGGCAGTATTTTCCATTACGGAAGACATCATTTTCTTTAATTTAAGAATTGATTTACGAGTAACTTTATTGTCTTCATTAATATTAATTGTTTGATTTCTTAAATTAATTTCTTTAACGACTTGTTCTAATTCTTCAATTCTTTTCTTAGCCTCTTCAAACTCTTTTTCAATATTTTTTTTTCCTTCAAGAGATAACTTTATTTTACATACTTCTTCTAACATATGTTGGTTTTCGCTTCTTAATCGTGCATACTCTTGGTCAAGATCTCTTAATAATTTGCTTTGAACAACTTCTCCATTCATAACAGTCAACTCCATAACGCAAAAAAATCTCCCATCAACATTTTTTCTTTCACTTCCATCTTCTAATTCAGCAAGTCTTTTTAATGTTTCTGAATGTTGTTTCTTTTCCAAGTCTAATTCTACTAATAACTTTTCATTCTCTGATGCAACTGCTTTTGTTGTTTGAATTAAGTCATCAAATTCTTCAATCTTTGTTCTCAATATTTCTCCAGCCCGTTTCTCTTTTTCAAGTTCTTTTAATACAACTTCTTTCCGTTCTTTTTCTTTATAATACATAGACTGAACTTCGCGTGTTCGTTTCATGAGTTCTTCAACCATTTGAATCAATTCTTTGTTTCTTTCAATTAACTCATCTTCATCATCACCTTCTTCTTCTGTATCTGAAATTTCATCAGTAAAACTTTCTTCTTCAACATCTTCTTCAACCTCTTCTACATTACTTTCATACCCATAATCTTCACATGAATACAAATCACTTGGGCTATGTTTAATAGATACTATTGCTGATGTTGTTCGAACAATCTCCCCTTTTTCATTTCTTTCCACTGTTGAACTCATCTTCATTTTAAGTGAATATCATTTTTAAAAGAAATTCTTTTTATTTTTTTTCTTTTCTATTTTTATTTCACTATCTTTAATTTCTTTTCATTTACACTTTGTATCTTGTTGTGATATATTCTTCTTCTTTCAATTCTTGAAAGATCGACATTCTTCTTCATCATTTCATTCAGATATTTTAATTGGTTGATTTCTTCATTCACACTCTATCGGATTCTTTTTTCATTCAGTGTTTTTATTCTCAGCATTCTCCTCGATTTCTTGTAATTACATCTAATGAGCAAGTCATTCAATTGGTTTATTCTTCTTTGTAGGATTACATCATAGTCCTTCTTGTATCCAATAAATTCATTCTCTAGTCACTTCTTGTTGATATGTGATATTTTATAGATATAGCTTTGTATTTCTTTGATGCCATTTCCATTCCACTTCCATTTCTCATTCAAGTAGGTGATTATTTCCTCTCATGCTCTTATGTTAAAGTAGTACCAAATATAACTGCATTCACTTATTTCCATTCCTTTTGTTTCTTCAATCAGCTAGACACGAAAATAGCAAAGAAATAATGCATCTAAATAATTTAAATAAAATTAGTTAATTAAATGTTAATAGAATTTTTATCTATTCTTCCTAGTTTAGCCGAGGTTAATTCCTTCCCTATTTAAAAAACATTAATCTTTT